GGATTGCTAGAGGGATGTCTGACTGCCAGTTTAGGCCTGATCCCTGTAAACCAGCAGTAGGACATCCTTCGAGGGGTGCCAGATTGGAGAGGGTGCAGGCCGGGCTGAGGAACACCCCCTCCCCCGTGCATGAGTTTCGTGCACCGGGCCACTAGTTTGATAAAAGTAGCCAATTTTTGAAACAGAAAGTCAATTAGTTTACTTCCTCCTGTCCCCCCTTTGGCCAGTCTGTCATTTTTGTTGTCCCTCTTTGACCTCTCGTAGCTTTTATTATTATTTTTGCCCTATTAAGAAGTTCACATTCAGTCTCTTGACTTTCCTTATTTTCACATGTGTTCAGGGACCAGATGCCACAGTTTATTCAGAATAGCAAGAATCTTTGTATAACAGTTGATGACATCCATTCTAAGGTACGTATTACTAGAAAAGCAAATTGTAGTAGGCCACAAGGCACATTTGTTTGTCCATTTTCTGTGCTAGTTAAGAAAACTTGTGAGGAAGATTCAGAAAGGATTTAGAATCCTGCACACCGTTTTGTGTTGCCCATAGAAAAGATTATATAAACTAATACTTCTCACACTTGAATATGGGTATGAAACCCCGAGGACCATGCTAAGATTCAGAGTTGGATTCAGTTGATGTGGAGTGGGATCTGAGATCTGTATTTCTCCCAAGTCCCTTGGATGGAGGCAGATGCCAGCGAAGCATCTCAGGCACATCTTAAAGCCCCAGAGCTAGTATTGGCTCTGCACAGCAGGGGCTGCCCTTTATTAAGAGAGAGCCTCCTGAAGGATGGGACACTGACAAAGGGTGAGAAGTGATTAGGGGACTGACTGTTGTTTTCCTTTCTAGACATAAAAAGAGAGGTCAGCACAGAAATGTGAGAGTTCTCTCCATTCTAAAAAGATAGTCCCCCAATTCATTTAAATAGTAGTTCATTTTCAATCCCCAAATAGGACTTTGAAGAATGAGCAAAATTAACCCAAGCTGACTAATTAGAAACATACCTTTCCTGGTGATTGACATTTCACAGTAGATTCAATTATATTCTCCCAAGATCTCTCATAAACATCAGCAGTGCATCTTAAAATTTCCTATCCGTGAAAACAAAAGCCAAAAGAGAGAACAGTGTTATTCATGAAATACTTAAACAAGTATAAAATATCAAGTAGATTTCCAGAGAATAAGTATAGAGTTGCACGACTACTCACTCCAAGTTTATTGATCTCACAACTTTCGTTCAACTCTTTATTACTTTCTTTGGAACATGTGGTTTCTCTGGCCGTAAATTCAATAAAATATTTTGCTCCACCCACCACCTAGAAAATGAATTAGCACAAAGTAGAACCTTAATTAATATTATATAATAAATGATATGTTTTTACCCTAAGAAAAATTTGGGGAGAATATTAAAATTTTAATTATACAATGATCAAATGAGAGGTATACAAATAAAAGTACAAATGTTTGACAACTAAACTCTTAGTTTGTACGCATGTGTAAAATATTTGGCTACAATTTTGGAAACAAGGCTACAATTTTTATTTTTATAATTTTCTGAATTTTATTATTCAACAACACTCAAGCGCTCAAGTTGTAATAGAATCTAAGAAGAGTAGGAAGAAAAACTTAAACATTTTCTTTAAGTATGCCTTATTGTCATGCCAAGTCTTGAATTAGAGAAATACCTTGTTAGTGTCAATACAGAAACTGTGAGTTAAAGTATGTGATTAGGAAAATTCTTTGGGTTTTTTAGTTTGCCTCTCTTAATTGTTTTATATTAAGAAACGATTTTAATCTCTATCAATAGTTTTTTTAAATTAATTTTTAGAGGGAGATGAAGGAATAAGAAGAGAGAGAAACATTGATCAGCTGCCTCCTGCATGCCCCTAACTCGGGATCAAGCCCACAACCTGGGCATGTGTCCTTACTGGGAATTAAATCCACAATCTTTTGCTGCTCAGGACAATGTTCAACCATCTGAGCCACACCGGCCAGTACTGTTGCAACAGTTTTAATCTTTATACAATGTTGGGTCCACAATGAATATTTTGTGGCATAATTTATTTATTTTTATATGAAAGAGGCACACTTTATTTATTTAAAAAATTAAACTCATGCTTTTTAAAATGCACAGACTTCAATAAAATTGCACATATGGCTTTTTAAAAGACATTTAAAAATGCCATATCTTACATCTCTTACATTTAAAAAATAGACTTGGTAAAAATGACTTTAAATTGTATGTTAAAAAGTTAGTTAATATGGCCCAATTTCTAGTCCAAGTTATTCAGTACTTGATTCTAGGATCTAAATGTGTGTGTGTGTGTGTGTAAAAGAATACATGAATATATCCGTTGACCTGGAGAGATGACTATTATTTTTATAAATGAAGCTCCAGCCCTAGTTGGTGTGGCTCAGTTCGTTGAGTGTCATTCCATGCACCAAAGGGTCCTGAGTTTGATTCTCAATCAAGGCACATGGCCGAGTTCCAGGTTTAATCCCCATGTGTGTGTGTGTGGGGGGGGGAGGGGGGCATAAAGGAGACAGCAGATGGATGGTTCTCTCTCCTTTTCCCTTCTTCTCTCTCTAAAATCAATAAAAGTGTATTAAGAAATAAAATAATTAAGTCTACAGGGTGATAGTATAATCTCATTTGAAAAAGGAAACCAGAGTCTTCCCTAACTCTGTGTTTTTTAAAAGCATGGAAAACGTGTGGTGGGAGGAAGAGAGCAGGAGAACAGAGTCATAGGAAGAACTAAGCTCCCCTTCTACTTTTTCTGGCATTGAACTGCTGGGTAATCATGGTTAAATTTTTAAGATAATTTTGATACTTAACTTTTAAGACCCCGCTATAGGTGCAAATGGAGAGGAAGTTTCTAAGAGGGTTTTAGGGTCTATAATTTGGTGATCATAAGTTTTCTTGCTCATTTCAGAATATATCTTAATCCATTTTTTTTGTAACTATAATCTTGATCAAAGCAATGTTGCCTAAGAAACTGGACAATATGTGACACAAACCACAACTGATGGCTCAACTCTATTCGGGTCAAGAAAGAATTAAATAGATGTAAATTCTCCATTTGAGGGCCTCAGGATGGCATCTATGTTGCCATTATTATCAGGTGTCATTCTTATCAAAAGTCTTCCCTGCTCAAACCCATTCTGCTCAACCTTTGTTTTTAAAGTAGAGATAACCATATAGCAAAATAAATTCAAAATGTATTAAAAATGTAAATTAAAGAAATAAACTCAAAAGATATAATATATATCCAACAGGTCTCAGGATGAAGAAGGCCTTTCTTAGGTGAAGAGCAGAGGAAGAAAACATAAATGGAGAAAAAATGTCTAAATTTGTTCGGACAGGAAAGCCAACTGATTCTCAAAAATCACAGTAAGCAAAGTAAAAAAATAAAAGCTGGGAAAAATATGGCATAAGATTAATATTCTTATGCATGTAAAGCCCAACATGAAAAATGAACAAAAGACATGAACAAGTATTTCAGAAAAGAAGTTAAAATGTTCATAAAGCCAGAAGCAAATGACTACCTCCATTAATAACCAAAGATTAAAAAAACCAACAACGCAACAGCATTTTTAATCTTCCATATGTTGGCAAAGATAAAAAAACAGTGGTGATAACTGGTATTGGCTACGCATGGGAAGCTCGAAGCCTTAGTTGCCTTGGTAGAAATAGAACTCAAAGCAAGATGATCAAGGTCCTATGGCCAGGTGGTATGAATATAAATTGGCATAATTGCAAATAGTTTGGCAAGTTGGCAATTTGTATCAGAAGTTTTAAACCTACTATACATAGGCCTTGACATTTCTAGTACTTTAAACAGAGCAACAGCTTAGTGGCTTTACAGATTTTGGCCAATACTGCTCTGAATACATTTTAAGTGACTCTCTTTTTACTTATGGTGACTTATCAATGATGAGATTTAATACTTGAATAATACCTTTTAGTTTACTTTGTGAATAGTAGCAGAAGAGATTTTAAAATTTCTTCTTTTTATTAAGCTTAAATTTTACTTTTAAACAGCATTCTTTTTGGCTAGTGCTCATTTGCCTACACAGAGGTTGTTATGGGAGGTCTCAGAAACTATTCAGAGGACTGGCACCTGTGAAGGTTATTGTAGGGCATATGAAAATTTTTTCTTTGGCCTTTATTAAAGCCAATTGCTTATAAAAATATTGGCTTTGAATATAACTGAATTTATATGAGACCTTGATTATATTGTAAAAAGCTAATTTATTAAGTAACTAAAGTAGGCATCTTTACTGAAAAAGTAAAGTAAGCAAACTTATATGTTTGACCTATGAAGTACAGATGCCGCCCTACCCCTCATCCTATTTGAAAAGCAGGCTGCTTGAGGGCTTTTGTTTGCTTTTGTTTTTAAAATTCCCCTGCTGATGCCCTAACCAGTTTGGCTCAGTGGATAGAGCGTCGGCCTGCGGACTGAAGGGTCCCAGAATCGATTTCGGTCAAGGGCATATACCTTG